TTCAACCTGATTGTTGTAGGAATATGGCTACAGATATTTTTTTTGAAGCTGAATAGGTATTTTTTGAATCATTTTTATGGAAGTAGATAGTTAAATGGAAAACTCATTGTCTAAAAAGTACTTTTTACACACTTCCTAAAGACTATTTTAACATTCCTACGTCACCTGCTCTCTTATTGTTCAGTGAATTATTAATCTTGTCCCAAGACAAACAATGGGTGACAAACTGTGAGAACTATTGTTTTGAGTTGTGTGAGTGTTGTAAGTATGCTTAGTATTTAAAACTTAGCTCACATGATCTCCATATTTTCCTACGTACAAGCTTTTAACTGACTAACTAACTACTGTTACATCATTTTCTGTTCTCAAATTGCAAATTAATTATAAGCTGTGGTTCCATTTTGTAAAACAAATGCCACATTCTAAATGAATGTAGATCATGAATATTTACAAACATACTGTTAATTTAAAACAGAAAAAATTAACAAAAAATTATCGAAGAGGACATAAAATGTACTTGTGGTATAGGAGATAGTTATTAGTTTCAAGAATTGATAGGTGAATATGTAATGCTATTTACAATGTAACTGATAGGTTGAAACAGGATGTGCTCGTGTAGAGTTAAATATTATTCATGTTTGTATTTATTGGAAATTATATTGCTACTTAAATAATATTTGTTTAACTGTTACCGTGAAAATTAATGCAACAGCTGTTGTAAGATCTAATATGATTAAGAAATGAATTTGGAAGGACTATCGTGATTAAATATCTTCCCAGATTACTTAGATCTTAGGTAAAAAATAATCAACAAATATTTATATAGAAATGACTGAAAACAAAAAAACAACGATCTTGGTTCAATCGGTCCACAAATGTGTACAACTAAGACCAACAATTTACAGTGGGAAATAATCAAGACCTTCATATTTCTGCGTATGTGGGAACAGAGATAAATTTTCTTCAGCAAATCGATTATTTAGAGAATCAAGATATACTGTGAATCTCTACAAGTACTTTGCCATATGAAAAGCTTTTAGCTCTATTTTTGAACTTCAAAACACTCATTTCCAGACTAACATAAGGTTGTGAATAAAATATTTAAGTGAAATATAGCTAACTAAACAAAAACATCTGATAACACTAAGAGTTCATCAATTACCTATCGTGGATATATCACGAAATTCTAGTGCGAAACGTTAAATTGTGAATCTTATATAAAAAAATGTAGTGCATCCTTGTTAAATATACAGATTTTTTAAACTTATTTCTATCTAATCATTGTTTGGATGTAAAACGTTACTATACGTAAAGTACTTTTGTGTATTACAACACGGTAAGAATATGACCATGGCCATTTTTTTCATTCAAAACGATATGTCATATAAGGAATTTTTCAGACCTGAAACTTCGAAAGAGAAAAAATTGAAGTATATATATATATATATATATATATATATATATATATATATATATCAACAGGACGTTTTGCAAGAAACATTCAATGAAAAACATCAAGGTCAAATCCGATAAGGGGTCATAAATTTATCAATTATTAAACAGGGTAAAACAAAGTAAACTTACATAAATATATACAAATCAATCAAGAAAAGTAGTAAAATTTGTAGTAAAAAGTCTTAAAATATAAAATCAGGATTAAATTGATCGATAAACCGTTCCTATGGAATACGTTATATATATATATATATATATATATATATATGCATTCGTGTGTCATAAATGGTTATCCTTTTTAACCTATTTTAAGTATTATTAAGCTAAAATCCACTAATCTATAAAACTTATTTGGAAAATTTAAGTTGACAAACTAAAGCGAAACTCCTGATTGAAATATGCTGAATAATTTATCGGGTGAGTTTTGTACCTAAATATTATTTTCAGTCCTGTAGAGTATCTGCAACCTAATTAATTCATTGTGACTGATAACTCGGTAACTAGAAGTTTGACCATTGAATTTTAATGAGTACATTTTGTAATAGGGTTATTGGTTCTTCTGGTCGACAAAGGTAAAATAAGCAGAGTGAACATTAAATTGGCAACTGGAAGTAGAATCATATAACTATCAAACGTCTATGCCTCGTTTATATCTTATCAATGTTAATAGCAGGTAAACCAACTATAACTCGTGAGATCATTTCGAAATGAGTTATAACAGCTGGAAAAGAAAGAATTGGAAGCTAACTAAGCGGAATATGACACTTTAAATTACACTCTTTGTAAATTGTGTTTGAAATCACACTTGAATCAATGTCTCAAGATAAACTGACACTATAAAATTTGATGATTGTGTAATTAATCTCACTATTAAATAATGGATGACAGAATATAAATTTAAAATATTTTGGAGTTTCACACGCCTGACAGAGGATTTGTATTCGTGTGGACCTTTGGTTTGTGTAATAACACGAATTTAAAACTAACTTATGTTCTAGTATAACTACGATATTCTACATACCGATAGAGACTGATTCGAAAGACTAAAAGCACTAACAAATGACTGATTTGAATTCAAAAAATTGTTCTTAGGAAAAAATATTCTTTAAGATATTGATCAAATATTTATCCTTAATTAACCGTAAAAAATCTATTCAGGGTGAATTTTGTGCTGCACTTTTCAGCCTTGAAAATAAGTATTTTGTAGTGATGACAATTTTCCTAAAATAATCATATGAAGTTAAGAGCTTAAAGGAAATTCAATTCTTAGCAGTACATAACATAAATCTAGAAGATGACGAAGCCTGGTATGGTAAAACCTAGTGGTTTCATCTGTTACGGCATTCAAGAGTTGAACTATTCAACATATTGTTCCGTAGACACAACATGGCGATAAAGAAGTATCTGTATTAGGAGATTAAATTACTTGTGTTATATTGAATTACAAAAAGGATTATTAATTGATCAATAAGCTTACTAAATACTGATTGATTGATTTAATACATGTCAAGTAAATTAATTGGTGAAAATTGTCTCCATTTTCGATTAATTGATCATCGTCAATTAATGATAATAATGTGTTGAATAGTCAAAAAAAATAAATGAGATAATAGGTGGGTGTTATAAAAAGTAATAATTTTGTTATTGTATGAAAGTGTATGAAAGAACACATTAGTCTACAATACAAATTAAGGCTGTAAGCAACATGATTGGCGGTCATGAATGATTAGTACCATTATTAATGGAAAAGAGTTTGTCCTGTCTGTTAACATATACGTATATGTTACTTAAAATGCTGTATCGATTAAGAAAATATATGCATGCTTGGTAAGAGGAACAGTAGGTATATTTATTTACAACATCTATCATTTAAAAAATTCAAAGGAAAAAAGGGAACTATAACATAGCCTTTGTAAAGTGATTCCTTCAGGCAACCAGCATAACAGCGATGCCGCTTTCCCATATAAAGGGATGGCGTTAGAAAAGGTCGACCCTAAAAATGCACCTTATCCTGCGGTAAGGTCTCAAAAAGTACGGAGCTAACACGAAAATTATCCACAAAAAGGTCGTGTGCGGCCGACCTCAAGCAGTTGTCCCTTGGGCACTGCAGTCACGTTCTCAGGTCACTAAGACCCCCTCTAATCCAATTTCCTTTTCAGGTACCTCCAGAAGAACCCTTCCACGGTGTTGGTAATCGAGAAGTGGTAACCGCTCTCAAACCTCTAACAACACCCAAACCCACTGTATTCATAATCTACCTCTATTTTCAATTCCCATTATTCCTCCTACCTCGACTATTAAATCTAAACTTCCTCCCCAAGTGCCACCATGGCCAACAATTCTAGTACGCAAAACACTGTCCCAGGTTTATTGAAACCTCGCTCGAAATTAAACGTTGGAGTCTTCAACGTACGCACTCTATGTCAGATCGGCCAGCAGACCACTTTGGCTAAGACCATAGAATCTCGTGCAATTGATGTATGTTGTGTCTCTGAAACACGCATAAAGGACCCTAGTGTGGTCATTCACTTGACCTCACCTCTCCCAAACAGAAAGCCGATGAGATACACCCACTGTTTGTCTGGCGACCCGATGGAAAGTTCTCGTGGACTGGCGGGCGTAGACACAGTATTAAGCATGGGTGCAGAAGAGACACTATTAGAATGGATCCTCGTTAACATTCGCCTATGCGCTGTTCGCATAAGTGGCCCAGTATAAATCGGAAGGTTAGGGATACACGTCGTTGTCTTTTCGTCATTTCTGCCTACGCTCCCACTGACCGCAACCCGAATGAAGTGAAAGATTAATTTTACAGAAAGATTTTTGAACTTATCCAAAAAGCTAAACACACAGGTGATTCTAATGTCCAAGTAGGTAACTTAAACCAAACAAAATGTCATTTAGGTGGGTATTTTGGTATTCTGGCTAAGCAAACAGATAGCGGTGACCGTCTGCTGCAACTGTGTTCAGACAAATGTTTGTTTTCAACAAGTACTAATTTAAGCATAAGGTAAGACGTCGTCTAACATGGTGACCCCCTGCATCAAACCAACGATGGACTCAAATAGACCACATTGCCATCAGTCATCGTTGGAGAGGCTCGGTAAAAGACTGCCACCCGTTCGGGAATACATGTTTAGACACTGATCATGATCTGTTACTCGCACGCGTATGCTTGCGCCTTACTGGTTGTGAATCTTCATTGACTGAAATGATTGGGCCACGTGTTACTCATGCCTGAACACCAATTACCACGACCCTCAATGTTGACTAGTGTTGGAGATTGGTGGAAGAAAGTTAGGGGCGGTCAAACTAAAACGTAGCATGAGTTCATAAAGTCACTAACTTCTGGTGTGAGCCATGTCGGTAGACGCAGATTACTTGGTTGGGGTCTGTGCAACTATCGTAATCAATCGCTGTAGGCTCTGGATGATATGACTCAGAATCAATCACAATGGCGTAGGTGTATACGATCTTTGTCTTCCCTTAAATTGTGAGATTAAAGTCACTTTATACCTTTCATTCTACAAATTAATTCTTTCTTTCTGTGCTATATTGTCATATATAATGTTTCTTTTATATATTACTACCATTGAAGTAACAGCTTCTATGAATTTGGCGTTCATATTGTTGTGATAATGAGGTATGGCAACTTGGACCGATGCATGTGTGTGCCTGGTCTTACGTTGTAGCCGACTTACGATGACAGCATACCAGGAACTTCAACAAGATACATTACTCATCTTCATCACTAACTCTCAGTTTCAAAATATCTAAAGAAATACAACATTTTAGTTTAAAGACACGATTTATTGAGAGCACGGTCATCATTAAGGACTTTAAATAGATGGAATTCCTCACTACTCAGTGACCAAGTATTTGTAAAAATACCTCAGTCCTACAAAAGATCATTCGCGGTCCGAACAGCTCGTTGATGACACTGAAGCCGGGTCATACAAGATCGAACCCGCCATGGAGCATCAATTCCCTAAACACTATAGGTACATATTTCTGACGAGTCCCGAGCAGAAAGAAATCTAGATCCAAGGTTGGTTGTAGAATTCTTCAAACCATCCTCACCACTACCAGCTTTACTATATACAATTTTCCAAAGATTTGTAAAAACAGTTTGACATTAAGCATAATCATGTGTTCATAGATTATTCAAAATGATACAAAACACCTATGAATAATCCACTAACATACAAGACGTTTACATGATAAGATTCAACGAGATTATATATCAATCAAAGAAAAGCGATGAGGATATTTTTAGAAAGCAAATAAACAACACATGTGTGATATAAACGATTTAAATAAAACGAGGAGTTTTTTCTCTCTTCCCAGCCAGAATTAAATATGCAAAAAATCAAATTAATACAAGTTTAAAACTCACAGAAATGATTTAATTATGATATTTCTATCAGAAAAAAATTTAAAACGGCCTCATATTAATCCCTAGCCAAATAAAACAGTCTATATGTATACTTGATAAAATTTCAAACAAATATACCAGCTAATATTCATATAAACATAAAAATAATACTTACATAATACCAACAGTTACTGAGTCTGTGTGCATACTTCCGCTGATAATAATGGTGGACTAGAACCAACGGCTTGTGATTCAAGACTTGACTGTCTCGAGTGTGATTGATAGCCTGATGAGTAATAATAATCCATTGCTATACCACTCTTAGACATTATGTGTGATACACCGACTGTTGCAGTAGACGCAGTAGCTGTAGATGAAGAAATTGACGATAGTGAGGAGTCATTTTCAGGCCTCAAACAATCTGATGGATTCAATTTAGAAGTAGACGGATGAGCAGCAGCTGAAGTGGAATTAGGAGAGGAAGGATCGGTATTTTTTAAATCAGTGTTCATTGATGGTAACACTTGTAAATCAGGTCTAATTCTACGTCGTCTAGATGATCGTACTAAAAGAACACTGTCTGTGGCAAAATAATCATAAGACTTTTTACCATAGTTACAATACTTAATACTAGGATCAGTTTCAATAATATTGGGGTTTTGTCTGTTTTCATCTGAGGGAGTATCAGCGGTCATACATAAATTAGGTAAATGATGCCGATTTGGTAAAGAATAACAAGTTACATTATCTGGATTAAGTATATTAAATGTAACATTCTGACCAGAACGAGGTTTATCATATGTAACACTAGACAATTGTTTGTCTAACTCAACAATAGCAGATGTATCTATCATCAAATTCTGTTGTTGTGGGTTTACACGTGCTGATGGGAATGATTTATCTAATGGGAGAGTAAGAGGGGATCGAAGTAATAAACTCCCTTTCGACATTGAACATGGAGTGGATGATGTGGAATTTGAAATAGGTGTCACAGAGCTTGAATCAGATAACCTGTCACAATAAAATGACTGTGATTGATCTGCCTGTGTAAAAGCATTTGATGATTGGTTTATATTTGTTTGTGAAGAAACCAACTCATTTTGACAAATTGATGACTTTGAAACACAGCTACTTGACCCTATAAAGAAAACAATGGTAATGACATAAATGACGTCAACATCAATAATAATAGAAAATATGAAGATAAAACAGGTATATTTCAGATAAACGTATATTGTTTAAAGTTTGGGTTCAAGCGTTCGACTTAGAAATTCTTGACACAGAAGGGTCCACATCTGATTTGTGGTACTTAATGTTAGTACGTCAGTTAATCATATACGGGAATAGAATCTGAATTAGATGGTTGAAACTGTTATAAACTATTCAGTGGATTCATGATTTAGATGAACACTAAAATAACTAAAACTAGGTTATGAGGGAGAATTTTCTAAATTGAAGACTACAAAATCATTTTCCATATAGTGAGAATAATGGCATACAATTCTTCAGGGAATAGGCGATATGATGGTTACAATACGACAATGAAATAAAAGTTTGCCGGAGCTCCAGATACCAAGAGATCCAATAGGAAGGTGATATGACAATTAAAAAAGGGAACTATCAGAATGCTGAATGAATTGCCTTGACGAATAATTAAGACAGTTATTTGCATATATGAGATGTTTAAACCGAGGTAGACTATATTGTCATACAAACTTTATAAGTTGCATGACGATTAAAAGTAGGTTTTGAGACTTGATATTATTTTTGGACAAAATCACAAACATCGAATTACTGGATGTGATATAAAGACAAAATTCAAACAAAACACGGCTTCAATCGCATACTGAAATACGCCAGGAAATTGTTGATAAGCAGAGGATTCTCAGCAACACAACCCTACACAGGACTAAACGTGGGACTATTCTTTTCAGGTGGCGAATCTCGTATCATTCAGTAGAAAAACTACGTTTTCAAGTTTCAACTATTTCATGAAACTAGGAGACTATATATTAATGCTAACCATATATGACGTTCTCATTTTCAAAGCACCTGATTTCATGTTACAGCTTCCCTACAAAACGTTGGGCAACGCATTATTGAACCGATTACCAGGGTTTAAGTGTGCAGCACTACTATGATGTCATAAACAAGGACGAAGTATATGTCCAGGTGATAGCAGTCGACGACCAAAATATCTTGCAATTAAAAAAACTATTTAATTAAGGATACAACTTTTATAATTTCCTGATAATTTAGCAAAATTTATTAAATAAAGAAATAGATAATTAGTTTGTTTAGTACAGTAACTCTTCGATAGTGGTAACTATTGACTGATAATAATGATGGTGAATGAATCAAACTGAGAGAGCAATGTAATTTGGAGGAAAGAGGTTTAAAGTTGAATGAAATATTTTAAAATTTAATCAGTACAACTCAATCTGGAATTGTGTCTGTTTTTTTATCCATTAACCCTATTTTTAAATAAAAAGTTTAAGTAAGCATGCAAACTAATTACTTCATTGTAATGAACATAGACTAATTAGAAAAAAGTCAAACACTTGAGGTTTCATTTAATTGTAATGTAATAACAACAGACACATTTATTCCATTTATAATGTGATATCTGGATGGCTGAAAATAAATTGAAATAAAAAAATCTAATAGTTTTCTTCGTATCAGTAAATTAACAAGCTGTTAAGTTAGTGGTAAATCTGCTTTTATATATATATATATATATATATATATATATATATATATATATATATATATATATATATATATCAAAAAAACATTTCGTCATAGCAGTAGAACATAGATTGCTAATGTAGGAAAAAAAGAACCCAACTATTTCGACATGTAAATTATGTGACCTTGGCCTCAGGTGGGAAGATTTCTCTCCCACTTTTGAAATATTGTCAAGATTACAAGAAATATGGATAAACCAGTGTTTAGTTAGATTTCTCGGTTAAAGTACTTGTTGATATTTTAATCTATACACAAATATTAATTTATTATCTAATAAGTGTCAACCACTCCCATTTCGAAGTATACAAACTAATCTATTGGTTGGATATTTAAAATAACTTATTTCTCATTGTAATTTTCACTGTCGTTATGATTTGTGGTTCATGCATAGTAAAACTTTCATCTACAGTTTTACTTCTTTTCTTTGTTCAAGTAATATTAGTCTCTGTTACGTTATGTGGTACGTATCAAATGAATAACTATCTGCAGATGTAACCAGTATCAGTAAATGAATATTAACAAGTTCTTTCAGTTCCTTTGCAACTGTGTATTCACTGCCTTTTTCAGGGAACTTCTACCGACTGAGTTTACGTGGTGAAAATGCTTAGTTAAAAGTTAGAGTATAAAAAACAGGTTTAGAGCTTATTGTTGAATTCAAAAGTTCTATCCCGGGAATTTAGATAACCTTGATCTAAACTAAGTAGAGCACATAGACCACAGGACTACGAAAACGAATGGTATCCAAACCTACTTTTATCATCGGACTTACAGGGATTGTAACATGCCTTGTGGATCAGACCTTTAGGTCAGCGGCTTGGGGATGCTCGTTTGCTAAGAAAACCACTTTATGATTTTGGATGGAGTTCTGATAAACGTCAGTATGATCCCCAATGTAAAAAGTAAAGATGACGAACTTTATGGACAATGCTATTACATTTTTATCATATTAACTATATATTCGATAAATAAATGAATAACAGTTAACTATTTACTGCCAATAATTTATTAAATAAAGTCACCACTGATATTTTATGAACTAAAAATTCTCATCATTATATCACATCAAGATCATCGATGAGATTAACTTCACAAACAGATAATGGCAACACTGAAAAATTCACTAAAGAATTACCAAACTATACGAACGCATGAGTTCAAAATAAAAACACAGTATTTCATTTCAATCAATTCGTTATTTGTCTAAAATGAAGGCAAGACAGGGATTGACAATGTGTACACACGAAGTGTCACATTTAGATTTGTCCACCTATTCTGATAATATTTTTCTTTCCAGTCAGTTTTCTTTTTTAAAACTCTACTTAATCATTTACGAAGTAGATTATGACAATTTCTTTTTATTAATTGATAATATAAAGTTAAACCTTTCCACATAATTGGATATATAGTTGTAAAAGGTGAATTAAGACATTAACGAAGTAGGAAAGCAAGAAAACTAAAAAAAATTATTATGTACCAAATACACACATACAATCAAAAGTAGGAAAACTAATATATTTCTACAAGTAATTTCATTGTTTCCTTATAACTGATGAACGATTCCGAGTAGCTGAAAACAAATAATAAACTAATCAATAAGAGAAGATAAGAAAAAAACGAACTACAAGGATTTGTACAATTATAATATTCATGGCGTTTTTATGAAGAGAAAATCTAAATGGTAAAATTAAGGGAGAGAAAAAAACAAACAAAGCTTAGCAGTTCGAAAATCCGTAGAGAATATATTATGCGAAATTATTTACAATTGACTGATTACTGGGTGGTGAGCAATGTCATGTATGTCAGGTTCTTCTTAGTGCAGAATGAATCCTATCTATGTTGACACATGTCTAGGTGAATCGACACGGAATTGAATCCGTCAAGAAGCATCAGTTCCCTCAAGATTACAGGTACACCTTGCTGACTAGTGTCAAGTAGCACGTAACCTAGGTCCAGGGTTTCCCGTTGACTGCGTCCAACCACCATCTTGTGCGAAATTATTTTAGTTAAAATATGAAAAGCATGAATTGATTTGTTATTTATTATTTTTATATTATTATTTATATTTATCTGATAGTACGATATCAATTGGTTATTGTTCATTTTTCTGGGTATAAAATAATGGTTTACTCAAAATTACTTTCACATAATATTTAAGTTAAAAATGAATTGATTCACTGTCTCTACTTCGTTAATTCATTATTCCATTTACTGATTTGTCTATTTTATTGACTGTTCAGTAATCCTATCTTCCTTATTACGTAATAATATTATTACCTATTATAATATTTTTAAACATTTATGTTGTATTAAAAAAAAAGCATTAATAAAGAGGCTAATATAGTTTTCTACAAATAGGACAGTCTTAACTATGTTAATTTAACAAAGTGTGAGGTTTATGAAAACTATGGGATCGTATTGAGATTATCGATCAAACTAAGTTAGACAACCATTAAAAATCAGTAAGCATTATATGTGTTTCGTCCTGGTAGGAGACTCTTTAGCAGCGCACATTTACGACTCATCTGAGCATCGAACCTAAGACCTTCGAGTTTTAGAGTGAGAGCTAGACTTTTAGACTACCAAGCTATAATTAAGTGGTTTGCACACATAAATCAGCTCGTGATAGAAATTTAATCGATTAAATACGTATGTCAGAGTGGAAATGGTTAAATTTTAATGTAACAAAAATTATAAAATCTCGATTTTAATCGAAATATGTTGGTTTAATATGCTAAACACGATTAATCTAATAGGATATTACGTTTTGTTTAAAAGTAGATGCAACAAAGACAATTCAAATGCAAAACTAATAGCAACTATAATATTCCAAATATTTATATTAAGATTTGACAATGTGTTTAGAAATAGTGAAGGTAAGCAATCAAATGAGTATTGCTAGCATCTTGAAACAACAGTTTTGAAAGTTTGCAGGCGTACTATATAAGTCATTTCACGAGCATGAACGTTGTAAGTTATTTCTCGATGTCAGTACTCCGCGGTAGAGCGGAAATATAGTCAGCTAATGGGATGACTAGCTAGTCAAAACTCCATAGTTTCAATAGTCATCGAAGTAGATGCCATTTGGGATTTTACTAGTTTTCCACCATAATCTTTATTAGTTATTCATTCGAAAAATAGAACCTGGCACACATACGCATTGGTTCAAGTTGTCATACCATTTCAGCACGGAGGAAGAAATCATGAAGAAAAATCTCAGAGTAGTCGAAGTATCAACAATATCAGTAGCAGTAGGAAAGATAAGTTATATATAATATAACTGGACAATGGATTCATGGAACAGAAAAAAAGATGATTTTTAAACTCAAAGTCTAAGGGAAGGTAAAAAGTGAATGCATCAATACTGTTGTGACTAATTCTGAATAATGTCAC